GCTTAGTGTTTAGTTGTGGGAGTCTGCTTCTGTTTCCATCAATTACAGGATGAAGGCTCTAGGATGGCATATAAGATAGTCACCAATCTCATTATCAGGAAAGGGCATTTAAGGTAGCCTCTCCACTATTGCTTAGATTGTTAGTTGGAGTCATCCTTGTAGGTCTCTGGACATTTCCCTAGTGTAAGATTTCTCTTTAAATCTTAATGTCTCCCTCTATTATGGTTTCTCTTTCTTGCTCTCCTCTATTCTTCCCCCAACTCAATCTTCTTGCTCCTTTATGTCCTCCTTTCCCCTCAACTTCTCCCCTTCTCTTTTTCTTGACTCCCTCTCCCCTCCCCAACTGATCCCAAATCTCTCAGGAGACTACTTTATGAACATAACATCAGTAGCACAGACACTGAGATCTACAATTAATAAATGGGTCATCCTAAAACTGAGAAGCTTCTGAAGGCAAAGATTTCCTGATTGGCTCATATCTGGAGCCTCAAACTGAAAAAAAACCTTTCTTCTATGTGGTGTTTTACCTCAGCAATGGAAAAATAACTAATATACCAAAGAAAGTAATAACTAATACACCATATGGATCTAGTATACTGTATACAAAATTAGTCATTTCTTTGTGATAACAAGTATTGAGTTCAGGTTCTTTAGCTTGCTAATTAGCATTCTGTTATGTAGCTACATCCTTTTCTCATTGCACCACCCTTTTCTTTGGGCAGCATCACATTTATTTGCCCAGAATAGTCTTGAACACTTTATTAGCCATGCAAGCCTTCAACCTGACATTGTTCTTGTCATCGCTCTAGTAGCTGGGGTTGCAGGTGTGTGCAATCATGCCTCACTGAAAAATAAATTAGGTTTTAAAGAAACACTAATATAAGTAAAACAAATATAACACGTCTCTCCATTTATGTTTACATACAAAGTTATAGAAGACAAATTTGATATTTACTGATTTTTTACTGAATATAAATATGTGTGAACATTGGGATCTTTGTTAAATTGTTTAAATTCCATTATTCTGTCTACCACTCATTTCTGTTTTTAAGGATTTGTTCCTCTTAGTCTTCAGTGTAAGGAAGGTTTTATCTTCTAGCTCTGCTTCTTATGGAAGACAACAGTTTTATTCACCAAAGCTTGAATTGTGTGTATTATTTCTTCTTTCAAATGGCAACATTTAACAATAAATCACATCTAGATCCTAGCCCAACCATGAAAGTCATTAAAACATGACAGCTTTCTAGAAGTAACTTCCATGCATTTCTAAATCACACGCACACCATTATATATGATTAAACATTGTTGCCTCGGTTGCACTAGATAATTTTCTAATGCCAAGTGAAATCTATCAGGTATTTACTTGTGCCCTTAGTCTCACAGGCTTAAGTGAAAACACACTGGTCTCTCCTGGGTATGAAGAGACCCTTTGCCTGCTTTCTCTGTCAGCTTATTGCTTTATCCCTGTAATACACGATCACCATGGACTAACGATTTTCCTCAGAAAAAGCATGAGTTGGCATCTCAAAACAGCTCATTCAGAAGATGTGGAGACTTGCAATTTCACCTGAACCAGCTTACAATTTTACACATCTAACCAGATCATTTTTGCCACATTTGAGCAGACCATTAAGCTTTTTCTAATGTGTTCCTATGAAAATTATTTTCTCATTCCAGGTGACGCAATTCAGTAAATAAACCACTATAGTACTTGTGCTTTTGTTCTGTTTTGTACTTTGAACCTAAAAATTACTACATATTAAATAACATATTTCACCTTTTTTCAATAATTCAACCTAGTTGATGGATAGGATGGGTTCTCATTTCTGCCTGAAAAATGATAAGGGATTCATAATTGACTAGTATAATGAAATAAGAAAACTACATACGAAGACTTCTCAAAATCCCGAACACAAGGGATCACTTCACATTTAATGTTCAAAGGCAACTTCAAACAAAGATACTATATGCAATGAATTGAAAACCCATTTCCTCTTGGTTTCCAAATGAGATATCTATTAAAAATACCAATTCAAGGAACAACACATTATATAATACTTGATGATATTTAGTTTAAACACTAACATGTTATAAACATAAATAATATAGAAATTGTTACTGTTGTTTAGATGTTTTGTTGCTATGATATTATATATTCCTATTATATGCCAACTTAACAGAAAATTAAAAAGCAGTTTCTCTATTTGATAAAAATAAAACAAATTTTATTTTTTCTTGAGTCCTTTACAGCTACAATTTCTAAAATAGTCATTGAAATTTTGTTAGTAATATTGTATTTTCATGGTATTAACCATATACCTATTTATAAAAGACAACCAAAGATTGTTGTATGTACTTCATAACCACATGGAAAATTAATTGCTTAGAAAAATAAACTGAAAATGCTATAGAAAAGAGAATACAAGTTTTGATCTCTACATTATTGTAACTAAAATCTTAAACTTGAAAGTAACTAAAATCTTTAAGTTTAAGTCTTGCTTGTATTTGTTGTAAAGCAATTACCTATTTTTCATATTGTGTGGAAAAAGCAACACCTTTCTCATTATGTACATCCCTCTGAATGCATTCTCTTATTTGATTTCATGTATTTGCTTCCAGGACTCAAGTCATGGAGGATTCAGATGGTATACCGACTGCCATACTTTTTAGAGGTTGAAAATGATGATGTTATAATCTGGCTACTATATGCAGTCTCAACAGAGCCATTATTGACTTTTCATTCTTTCTTATTTTACATATTGATTCCAGTTCCCTCTCCCTCCCATCCTTCCACCGCCCCCTAGCCCCCTCTCCCATCCCATTTCCCACCCACTCCCCAGGAAGGGTGAGGCATCACAGGAGGGATCATCAAATCTGTCAAGGTATTTGGAGAAGGGCCTAGGCCCTCCCTCCTGCCTCTAGGCTAAGGGAGTATCCCTCCATGGGGAATGTGCTCCCGAAGTTGAGCACCAGGGATAAATCCTGTTTCCACTATCAGAGGTCCGGCAGACTGCCTAGGCCTTTTAACTGAGATCCAGGTTTAGGGGGACTGGGTCAGTCCTATGCTGGTTTCCCATCTATCAGTCTGGGGTCCATGAGCTCCTATATTACATTTTTAATCACTAGTGTTTCTGCCTAGCATTTTATTCCTCACAGAGTGTGAGCTACTTGAAACAACTCAAGTATTAAATGCCACACAATCACCTTTCTCAGATCCTTTGTACAGAGAAAAAGAAAATCCAGAGCAGATAACCATAGAATTTAGTCCTTTATGGTTTTATGTTTAAAGGAGATGATAAAATTTGCATGAGTTCTGAAGCCTTGGTGTACAAGAAAATACTGTTAACTGCTCCATTGATGATGATGATGGACAATCACTAAGTGCTTGTGAGAATACGATTTCTTAGTCTTTGGCTTACAGATTGCTTGTGCTTTGGGGTTTTAGGGTGTGCCCTCACAATAGTTTAATTATCTTGTTTAAAATCACGAGATCCTAGCCTCCATTCTGTGTGTACAGATACACATGGAAAGCTTGCTGCCTCCAGAAAACATCTGTGCACTCAGCTCACCTCAACTCTCTTTTTTCTCTGTGTTTTCATGTTAAACAAACCCGGGTATATTGAATCATTTCACTCTGTCAATACTCCTGACACTTAACTTACAATTTTAAGGTGATTATTTTATATAGAGAATATTGTTAAATGTCATTCTAATGTGAAATTTCCTTGAAGAAAGTGGATTACATAACATCAGAGACATATAAACAGGGGACTAATTCAGGTCCCTGAGAAAGAGTGCTACCTTTTCAGCAGAGATTCAATCTGCGTTTCTCCTATAGCAGTCAGAACAATTTTTCTCCATTGGTCACAGCCCCTTCCCAAATGGGATGTGTGCTTGCCACAGCATACAGAATGACTCTCTGGACAAATCACTAAGTGGTCTTTCACTAGGCTGACTGTGAGGAACTGGCCATAAATCTGATCCTTGAATATTTCACTAGACTCTCCCTCATCCCAAATGTCACACTTATTTTCTCTCCATCTTTGTCATTGAACCATGATAAATCAAAATGATTTATTTCTACTTGACATAAATCCATAGCACAGATTAAATGATAAGCAAACACTATTAAAATGCTGAGTGTTTGGTCAAACTCCTACATATATATTACCACCCCATATCTCCCTAGCCTGACTAGATATATAGATATGGGGAAGAAATATCTAGAGATTTTTCTTCTGAGTATTAGGTTTAAAGATTACAGTACCTTTAAGACATTTACCACATGTGATGGTGTTAGCCAAAGACTATGTCATAACTTCTGTCTTCCAACATTAGCAAGAGGAACAAGTCAGAAATTCTCTCCTGAGTCAAGATTTACTTAAATGGATTGCCTTATTTCACCTATTTGCTGTAACCATACTACAATAGAACAACGATGGCCTTAGCACTCTGTAGATTACATTATTCAATAGTCAATGAATTCATGTTAAAATTACAGCAGTGCTTCTCACACAGTAAATAAATTACAATGAAAACATAAAGAGTTTTTATATCTTCTAGTCTATGTTAGAATAATGTATTTATTTTTATTCACTTCTGTAATAAATTATTTCCTTCTGTGAATTGTCTAAATTATTGTATTATTATTTAAGTTCAATCAGGAAAACATTGCTCAAGACAAGGCAATGAAGTGACTTCAAAAATCTTTAAGATATTTGTCTCTGAAAATATCCTATTCAGCCTTAGAATCCTCTCATGGATGTTATAAAGGCATATTACATTAGGGGTATTATAATTTACATTCCAAATTAATTTTGCTGCATAGCACACATCATAACTTTGAGATGACAGAATCACAGAGGTAAAAGTGAGACATCCTTCACTTCACCTTCACCCACTGCACCTAAAATACAAGAGCTCAGAGAGTCTTGTTCTAAATTTGAAAGAGATTCATTAATGTAGGAGTGATGACTCAGGCAAATCAGATGGCAAATTACCTTTGAGAGATCCCCCGCCTCCAAATAGAAGCAGATAACAAACACATTCCACGTCACCCAGAGGACTAGCCAGACAGCATACTGTGGAAAAGCAAAGGAACAAGAGAAGAATTAATTTAGAATTAGCTGAGGATGAGGGCAAATAGATCTTGAACTTCTGAAATCCAAGTCAAAGACTAGTTGAAAATACTGGCTATTGCTTCCAATTATATATATTTATCTCTATCCATCTCTTGATTTCTTATGACATTTAGTCTCAGAAATAATAAAATACTGAAGAACCAGCTTTAGGTTTTTAAGAGAGAAAAGATAACAGCCTCCCCATTTCCATATAAAGGCTTTTATATTTACAGACATGGAGAAACGACGTTCCATTTGACATTCTAAATACATTAAAAATATTTTGTTTATAAAGTCATCTTTATGGTGAATGTGCAAACTTCATTCAAGTTATTAATTTTATCCCCAACACAATGGTCCTCATGTTCATGTCCCATGCAGCAGCTCTTTTCTTCTTCTTTTTCAAAATCCTTTCTTTGTATTTCACTTATTTACTTACTTATTTTTTTTTTACATGTCGATCCCAGTTCCCTTTCCTTCTCTCCCTCCCTGCCCTTTTCCCTTCCTCCCTCTTTCCCTCAATTCCCTCTCACATGTACCCTGACCACCCTCCCCTCCCATCCCTCCACCCCAATTCCACATGTAGGGCAATGCCATCCAGGTGGGGTCGTATAAATCTGTCAAGTCATTTGAAGTAGGACTAGGACTTCTCTCCTGTCTCTAGATTAAGGCAGTTATCCCTCCATGGGGGATGTGTCCCCAAGGTCCTTTTGTGCACCGGGAATACATCCTGATTCTACTGCCTGAGGTTCCTTAGACTGCTTAGTCCTTCTAGCTGAGACCCATATTCAGGGGGGCCTGAGTCTGTCCCATTCTGGATTCCCAGCTATCAGTCTGGGGGCCCATTAGCTCCTCCTTGTTTAGGTAAGCTGTCTCTATGTGTTCTGCAACCTGGTCTTGTCCTCTCCATCTGCATCTAGATTCTAGTTTGACTCAGTGTTTAGGTATGGGTGTTTGCTTCTGTTTTTTTGTTTCCACCAGGTACTAGATGAGGGCTCCATGATGGTGGATAAGTTAGTTGTTGATCTCACTATCTGGGAAGGGCATTTATGGTAGCCTTTCCATGGTTGCTCAAATTGTTAGTTGGCAGCAGTCTTGTAGGTCTCTAGACCTTTCTTTAGGTTCAGTTTTCTCTTCAAATCAATAATGTCTTCCTCTTTTATGTTCGTTCTCTCTCTCTCTCTCTCTCTCTCTCTCTCTCTCTCTCTCTCTCATCTTCTATTCCTACCCCAACTCAATCTTCCTAGTTGCATGTGCTTTCCTCTCCTCCCCTTCTCTTTCTCCCACTCCTCTCTCCATTCACTGCCCCCCCAATTCCCATGTGCTCTGAGGGACTTGTCCCTTCCCCCTTCTGTGAAGGACTTTATATGAATCTCTTAGAATACACCTTGTATCCTAGTTCCTCTGGTGGTGTGAATTATAGGCTGGTGATCCTTTGCTCTAGGTCTAAAGTCCACATATGAGTGAGTACATGCCATGTTATTCACTCATACACCCCATGACGTAACAGTAACAATCTAGGAATTATTCTCATTCTGTTTTTTGCTTAGTGTGTACTCTGCAGTGGTGACAAATTTTCTTACCAAGTCATAGTTCTAATTATCCAGTCAATCAAATCACTTTAAACACCTACAAGTCACTATCCTACAGAAACACTGCAGATAACAAACACAAAAATTAATTACCCAAAAATTCATGTTAAATGTAGGAGATGATTTTTAAGAAGGTGAATATCACATTACACATCAAATTATATGTAATGTGAACAAAGAGGGAATATGGAAATAATGCATAGTTTATCTTGAGAAACAAAATATTAAATCTTAAAAAAAGGTGATACTTCCTGGAAGAAATGTATAAAACTGACTTTCAAACTCAATTAAGTTAAAATGTGATGATTGGTTGGTGATAACAATGACAAAATGGCCAGTCTAGGTTTTGCTTTGTCATTGAAATCACAGGGTATTATGTTTCTTCCTGCTAAATAAATCCATGGGTTCCATCCCTTTAATGATGATTCATATCTTTATACTGCTATTTAAGAGGTTCCATGATTTTGATGCTGTGTTTTCAGTCACTTGTTTAAGCTCATTCCTGTAGATATCATGGGTCCTAACACTTGTTGACTCTATTCCCTGGACTTAAAATACATTTTTCTCTTTGGGGTTTTTCCCCATATAATGCCTTCATCATTGATTTTTTTTTCTTTCTTTTCTCTATACATTACTGTTCACATCCATCAATATTTTATTTTTCTTCAAAGGTCACCTAAAATAACACTTGGTGTCAGACATGTAGTTATACCTGGCTGAGCTTTTCATAGCATTTAGCTAACTTTTATGTCTTAATTTCACCACTAATATCCTGTTTAATTACTTATATAAATAATCTAATGTATGAACAATAATGTCTTTATGAAATAAGTTCTTCTGTCTATGTTGATGTCCATAAGTTCTTAACTTAATATCTTGGATAACATAGGCATTCAGAAAATATTATGTTTAAGTCAGTGAATGGATGAGAAGAAACTAAGTAAAATATTATTTTCAGAAAAAATGAGGACAGTACTCATGGACATCATTTTTGCAGGAATACTCTGATCATTACGTTATTTGATGAGTGATGAAATTGGGTAATAGTACATAAAGTTTCCACAACATTTTAAAGACACTGGGTGGTTCCAAGTGCTATACAGGGGTGTTGCTCTTGGCAGCATAGAGTGAAGAAGGTCAAACCAAATGATTCGAGAAGAAAGATATTTGAAATGCTACATGGAGTGTGGGCTGAGAACTCATAATTGGATTCATAAACTGAGTAACTGTGGCAAAAAGGGGATCCTGATCCGTAAAACAGGGATGCTAGGAAACACTTGAGTTCGTTTAATGTGTACATTTAACTGCCATACCTTATTTGTAAACTAAAATGGAGGGTTGTTATTGAGCGCATGAAGTTTTTTTGACCATTTTCTTTTTAGATATTTAGATATTTAGTTTAGATATTAGTTTAGATAATTCCACAGATTGCCTTTCACTCCAGTTGCTTCCTACTCTCTGCAGAAGAATTTTCACTGTATATGACACCTTGCAGCTTTGCTTTGGTTTCCTATAATTTGGCTTTGTTGTTCATGAAAAAACAAACAAACAAAGAAACACCTTGGTCATTTCAGTGTCCTGAAATATTTCACCAATGTTGGTTTCTAAAAGTCTGAGGTCTTGCATTTATTTGATGGATAGGTTTGGATTTTAGTTTCAAAACTACATTGAAGTTTAGGGTCCTTGTTGATAGCATGAATAAAAAGGCACATACAATTTGTGATCATTTAGTTAATTTTTTATGATTTTTTTTAAATTTGAAACAAGCATGGTTTACATGTCAATCCCAGTTACCTCACCCTCCCCTCCTCCCTTGTCTCCCTCCCAACCCTATCCCATCCCCTTTCTGCTCCCCAGGGAGGGTGAGGCCTTCCATGGGGAATCTTCAAAGTCTGTCATATAATTTAGAGCAGGCCCAGACCCTCCTCCATGTGTCTAGGCTGAGAGAGTATGCATTTATGTGGAATGGGTTCCCAAAGTTCATAAGTATACTAAGGATAAATACTGATCCACTACCAGAGGGCCCATAGACTGCCTAGGTCTCCTAAGTAACACCCACATTCAGGGGGTCTGGGTTGGACCTATGCTTGTTTCCCAGCTATCAGACTGGTGTCCATGAACTCCCCCTTGTTCAGGTCAGCTGTTTCTGTGGGTTTCTTAACCGAGGTCTTGACCCCTTTGCTCATCACATCTCTGAGTCTGCAACTTAATTCCAGGATTTCGGCTCAGTGTTTAGCTGTGGTTGTCTGCTTCTGCTTCCTTTCAGCTACTGGATGAAGGCTTTAGGATGGCATATGAGGTAGTAGTCAACAATTTCATTATAGGGATAGGACATTCAAAGTAGCCTCACCACTATGGTTTAGATTGCTAGTTGGGGGTCACTCTTGTGGATCTCAGGACATTTCCCTAGTGCCAGATTACTTTTTAATCCTATAGTGACTTCTTCTATTATGTTATATCTTTTCTTGCTCTCCTCTGTTCTGTCCATGACTCAAACTGCCTGCTCCCTTATGCCTTTCTCTCCCTTTTTCTTCTCCCCTCCCCTTCCCCTTACTCCTTATCTCCTAGCTCCATGCTCCCAGTTTGCTTGGGAGATCTTGTCCCTCTCCCCTTCTCTGGTATACACTGTGTCTCTTAAGGACCTCCTTGTTTCCTAGTTTTTCTGGAGATGTGCATTGTAGGCTAGTGATCCTTTGCTTTATGTATAAAATCCATATATGAGTGAGTACATATCATGTTCCTTTTTTTGTGACTGGGTTACCTCACCCAGGATGGTTTCTTCTACTTCCATCCATTTGCCTGTGAATTCAAGATTTCATTGTTTTTTTCTGCTGAGTAGTACTACATTGTGTAGCACATTTTCTCCATCCATTCTTCAGCTGAGAGGCATTTAGGTTGCTTCCAGGTTTTGACTGCTACAAATAATGCTGCTGTGAACATAGTAGAACAGAAGTCCTTGTTGCACGAACATACACGTTTTGGGTACATGACTAAGTGTGGAATTACTGAATTTTTTGGTAGACTGATTCCCATTTTCCTGAGGAACCATAATACTGATTTCCCAAGTGGCTGTATGAGTTCCCGTTTCTCGAAATCCTCTTCAGCATAAACTGTCCTTGGTGCTTTTTATTTTAACCATTCTCACAGGAGTAAGATGGTGTCTCAGAGTTGTTTTGATTTGCATTTCTCCAATGGCTAAGGATGTTGGGCACTTTCTTAAAGGCCTTTAAGCCATTTTGGATTCCTCTATTGAGAATTCTTTATTTAGTTCTGTTTCCTATTTTTTAATTGGATTATTTGGTGTTTTGGTAACTAGCTTCTTGAGTTCTTTGATTACTTTGGAAATCAGCCCTGTGTCAGATGTGAGTT